AAGGAGGTAGTAGCTGCAAAGCCCGATAAGCTGGACTCTTTAGGTACTGTAGCATAAATCTGATCAGTTGCTTCTATTTTGTTCTCAGTTGCTGTTATTAGTTATCAATGCTACCGCTGAAAGAGTACGAATTTTCACTGGTTAATGTTTTTAGTTGTTGATAATGGAGAAAATTGGAGTGTCGGGCAGAGACAGCTTCTCTGTTTGGGACGTGTAATGCTAAAACGCAGCAAGCTTTTATTTATGGATGAGGCGACTGCCTCAGTTGATTCACAAACAGATGGCGTGATCCAGAAGATCATCAGGGAGGACTTCTCTTCCCGTACAATTGTAAGCATTGCCCATAGAATTCCAACAGTTATGGACTGTGACAGAGTTCTTGTAATTGATTCAGGTTTGTGCCTCTCCCACCCCTTAGTTCAGCCATGCTTCATCTTTGTTTTCATTTATTTTTTGTTTCTTTTTTCTTGAGCAAATAATTCCTCTGGGAACAAGTAGACTGTCAAAATGTCGCCATTTTGGCCTGCCTTTGATCTGTTCCTGATTGCATGCAGCAGATTACCTAAATTAATCATGTCCTTTTTTCCTATGATTCTGTTGCGCTCCGACTTTGCCTGATCTGGGTTTATTCTTCATGATTGCACCTGATAGAGATTTCCTGCTTTCACCAAAGCTGGGTGAAATGATTATTGTTTTTCTTTTTGTGCATTGAACAGGTAAAGCAAAAGAATTTGACAAGCCATCGAGTTTGCTGGAGAAGCCTTCTCTCTTTGGAGCATTGGTTGAGGAGTATGCCAACCGATCTTCTGAACTCTAGCTCTGATCCTAGCATTCTTGGAATGGGCTGAAGATTGATTCTTGTTGGTTGAATTATATTTTCCACAACTTCGTCTTGCATGTTAGGAAGCATACTCTGGCTATTCAAACGTTATAGATTTGTCAATAGAGGACACGGTACGGTAGTACCATTATCCACACCACAATTGATGAGCAGCCAGAAACCAAAACCAATTCTTGAAGTGAAGCTGATGGACGCGGTATAAGCTGCCATGAATCAAGTTCCTTTGCAGCAAATATCCTGAATTCATTCGTTGATCATCCTACGGGGAAGTTGATCATAAAGAACTCGAAGCTTTTCAGCACTCGTCATCTAGCTTATTTTATTGTATTTTATTTCTGAATGTCCTTATGATTGGTCATTATCAGGACCATCTAAGAATCTAGCTAAAGTCCTACTGTACATTCAAATACTTGAATTTTATCCATATTTTGTATATGATTATTCTTAAATCATATAAATTATTATTATTATTATTATCCTTAACCACTTTTATCTTTTTTAATAAATATAAATTATTTTTTTATTTGTATGGAGTTTTTTTATTTAGTCGATTATAATTAATGTTGCTAGAAACAGAATATTCATTCATAATAAAATAAAAATATATTTATTTTTAGGGAAAATTTCAGAAACCTCCCTTGAGGTTCTTAACAATTTCATTTAGCTTTCTCAACGTTTTAAAAATTATACATATCGTCGTATCATTTAAAATGATAATACTATCCTTAAATATTTTAATAAAATTTCCTTGTTTGGTGTGCTTATATTTAGAGTGACTTTTAAAATTATATTTTATTCATTTTCCTTCTTGTTCCTTTTATTTATTTTTATTTTTTGCCAATAAAATTGTAGAACTATCACTACTATTACCTCTAGTTTTTATTGTAATCAAATGTCGAATTAGTAATTTTTTATATGAGTTAACTTATATGTAATTCAATGTTTTTGCTTATCTTTATTTCCTATTTTTTGGTATTACAATTAACAATAAATAAAAAAGAAATGGTCCAAAATCACTACTAAATTATGATAATTCGACTACTCGAAAAATTTATAAACTCTAAATGAATTATTTCAACATTTTCTTTTATATCTTATAAATCTAAATTCATAATAAAATACCATCAAAAGTATCCTATTATAATGATAAAATTATTATTATAGTTGTTTATTAAACAGTAAGTATGGACATGAAAATTTTGGCACCTTTCCTTATAATTATATTAGATACTCTTATAATTGTATAAAAAAAATAAATTAAAACTCATTACACAAGGGTATTTTTAGGTATTCATTTAAAAATTTGACCAAGTCAATATTATTTTAAGGTTTTATTCCAAAAACTATCAAATCAAGGGAGGTAGGTATAATTCTTCAAATTTGAGGGGAGCTCAATGAAATTGTTAGAAATCTCAGGGGAGATTTCTGAAATTACCTCATATTTTTAAAATAACTATTAATTAAATTTTTTTTTTCATGAATTATTCTGCTTGCTCAACTTCAACAACTAATCAAAACTTTTTTTTTTTTATTTTTTATAAATTTCATTACAATCAGGTGGAAACAACGAAGTACAAACAAACAGAAAATTTGAGTCGTGACTGTTTAAAAAAAAAAAGAGAACGACGAGTTAAATTAGACCGTCTCCCCTCCTCTTACCCCTAAAACCCTACTAAAACCCCCGACATCCGTTTTCGAAGCCTCCAGAGAGAGAGAGAGAATAGAGGACGATGGGGAGGTCACGAAGGAAGTACAGGAGGTCAAGGCCGAAGGTGCGGGTCGGGTTGCCAAAGAAACACCCTCACGTATTCAAGCCGGCCTTCAATCTTCCCCCGAAGCTCCGAACTCTGTTGGATCCCTACTCTTCCAAGTGGGACGACACAGCTAGCGTCATCCACAATTACAAGTCATTCGGCGTCGTTTCTAACCCCAACCTGCTCAGCGTACGCTCTCGCACCTCCCACATCATAGAAACCGATTCTCTTCAGGTCCCACCGCCGCCTCCATCCGACGACTCCAACGCCTTCGATTCCGGGAGCGACCTCGAAGAGGATGGTCAGTTTTATTTTAATCTTTATTTTTGGATTGAATACTGAATGCATTTTTGCCTTCATTTTCAAGGTGGTTTCATTTTTTTAATTATTATTTTAAAATAGATTTTGGGCCTGTTTCTCCTTTGCTTAAACATACAGTTTAGCTCATGTTTAAATTGCAATAATGAGATGTGAACATTGAGGTGCATTTCGAAAAGGATTTTGGATCTTATATACTTCTGTAAAGAAATACCAATGCCAGGTTAATTGTTTAATTAGTTTCTTCTAGAATTGGTTAAAACTCCAGCAAATGGGAAGATGCCCCCGCGCACCCCCCCCTCCCCCCAAAAAAAAAAAGAATTTTGTTAATTTGGTCGTAGCTTGAACTTTGCAGGCAGATCATTTTAATAGGTTTCATTCTTTCATTTTCTTCTTGTGGCGAAAAAACAGATGCTTGAGATTTAATTCGTTAATTAAATGTACCTGTGTTTAACTGGTTACATTTTAAGTTTGCTGCTCAGGTTGGAGGGCGAAGGAAACTTTTGGTGGGGCAGCAGGGGATTTTTTTTTTTTTTTTGGGTTTGGTTGGGGGTGGGGGGGTTGGTGGGAATACTTTTTCTCTTGATTCGCTGATCTTCTCTGTAGATTTTCTTTTTTGGGGTCAAAATCTCTGTAGATTGTTAACTTTGATATTATCCCTTTTGTTTGTTACAGTGTGAGCATGTACTTTTGGCAACATTACCTTACAGCTACGGATAGTTACTTTTGTATCTTCATGGTTGATTAAACTTCAGGTTTAGGTCCTTACTTTCATATCCTAGCAAAACAAAGTTGAGTTTTTCCTCTTTTTTTTTTCAACATAAAAAGCTGCTCATTGCCATGAACATAGGTTTTTTTTAAAAAAAATGCAAAAACATATCTGTTTGGATCCTTCAGTTTTTCAAAGTTTTTCAAATACTATAAAAATTTTTAAAAAGTGCTCTAAAAGGTACTCTAAAAAGTAGTTTAAATTTTTTTTATGTTTAAAAAATATCTCAAAATATATCTTAAAAACTCTACTACTTTTAAATATTCCAAAATATTTTCTAAAAAATTCCAAAATATACTCTACAAACTCTGCTATAGTAAAACTTTTCAAAAATACCCTCAAAAACAGCTCATCCAAACAGAGAGTATACTTTCTTCCCCTTTCTTGTGACATCAACTGTGTAAAGCCTTGAATTATGCAGTTTTTATTTGAGAATGTACCCCTCACCTCTATGTAAGTATTGCTGACATGATAGGTTGGAAAATTCCTAGATTTAAAGACAGCACTTGGGAAGAAGCGCAGTGATGGGAAAAGTGCACCATTGCAACCTCTAACTACCATGCAGCGCTATCACATTGGGCGACTTATAGATGAATATGGGGAGGACTATGAGGTGAGAATTGCAAATGTTACAGATACCTATCAATTTTGTTATTTGTTTCTTTGTGCTAATTAGATTTCTTGCTTTACAGAGCATGTTCAAGGATACAAAACTAAACAAGATGCAGCATTCAGTAGCAACGCTAAAGAAGTTGTGCAGAAGATATCACACCTGTCAAGGGAAAAATCCTTTAATTAAGAAGTAAGAAGGGAACAAATGAAGTTTGCTACAGAACACCAGTAGCTTTTGCTGCCACGGGATACACATTGATTTGTTGTTGACTGAAAACGCCAGCACCCCTACTGTTGGATGTTTGCAATACATAAATGATTAGCTCACTGAGTAGATGATGAATCTTTTTAACAACTGATCTACTAAAAAATTTCTCTCCCTTCTTGATATCCCTTCTCCTGCTTTTCCATTTGCTTCTCCTTTTTGGTATGTTTTGGGGTGTTTGTGGACCATGTGTCTAGGATTATGAAAAATAGCTTAAATTTAGTTTTTGATGGTCACCGAAGTTGCATGGTATTTCTCCAAAGATCTCGTATGGAATTCAAAAGGTGTCCACCTTCAAAATCATTTTTTAGCTTTAAGTAGATACATGTACTAAGTAAATAATTTTTTTTTTCCTTTTGCATTTTTTGGGTGAGACTTTGATGACAGAATTTCGCTTTAGAGATTCAGATGAAGAGGGGTTTTTTATTTGTACGATACCAATGAACCTAATTGCAGGCGGGCACAACTTTTTTTATTTTTTTTTCTTTGCCAAAAGCATGTCATTACAAAAGGACGATACAGAACGAGTAATAGGCCTCCAAAATTAACCTGATAACGCGGCCACCGGTTATTTTGGACCTCAGGTTAGACTTGTTCAAAAGCCAACTTATTTATGTACAGGTTATTTTGGTTTCGCTCAGAAATGTCGGAGAAGACAACACTTCCAATCCCAGAGAAACCCATAGATTCCCTTATACATGCATAGCAAATCAAAGACAATTAACGCTGCGATTCTTGTTATATACCCATGAATGCTCGACACTGTGATTCCCAGTGCTCCTTGGCTTGTCTAATTCTTTCGGCTCGTTCAGACTGTAGTCGCGCCGCCCAGTACTCCGGACAACTGTTCAAGTATGCTTTTTTTTTTTAGTACGAACTAAAGTAATGAATAAATGCCAACTCACAACACTCGTCATGCATAAGTTTAAGATCACACCTTTGGCTTAATAGAATGTTTAGCTCCTCCAAATGCACAGCACCTTCATAAACTCCTGCCTGCAATTGCAACTCGACAGTTATAGAATGGATGGCAACATGCAATATGAATCTCAATTCAAGGTACATTATTGGTCTTTTAACTCACGATTATAATTCAATAATTCAGGATAAGAAGGAAATTGTAATCAATGAATCATATGATACAACAGAACAGTTGCCTAGGCTTTTCACCACAGTCTACATACCACCACAGGGTATACCACATAAATTTTGTTGAAATGTCAGAAGAAGCTGGAAATTAACTGTCATTCCTTTCCTTAATTTATATGACCAAAAAGAGTTTGAGGAAAATCAGCAACAAGGCTGATGCATGCGTATGAGAATATGCAATAATAACCACAGGTGCTACAGCAAGTGAGCTAATACAGTTCTAAACCACTTATTTTTGTTGAACTATATGATAGTTCATTTTCATCCAACTATTACAATCTTTAAACACAGCCGTGTGCCCACAACATTGCAAGGTGAAGTACAACCATTTTAATTTTGGATGGTCAACCAATTGATCTGATAACCGTCCAGAGTAATAAATTTGGAGGTTTTGTTGAATGTTGTAAAATTCCTTCTTTAGCTCCATGGAGCATGGTGTCCGAAAAATTTCAACCCTAGATGGATTGCTCAAACAAAAAATTATTCGCCAAGGGAAAGAATAAACAGACCTGATGAGTTCATGTGGAGATAAACATCGACAAGTTTGTTTGACCTAAAATTGTGAGAAGTGTGATAGTTCTTGACATTCAGTTGGAATGTACAAAACCAGTCTGATGGCCAGACAAGGATATGCAAATATAAGACATTCTGGTAGACTTGAATAATCCATTGAGCAGGACACAAATTCGTTCACTTGATGTTAAATCTATGGAACAGATGAAAAAGTGTTTAGTGAAACATTTTCAATAGATTCCAGCCTGTTGACTACATGACGAAAAGCAGGACAGATTGGTAGGAAGAACTTAAAAGTGAAGACTTCTAAGTATTTACCTCTCTGCAAAGGGGGCACTTTTCCTTGGGACTAGCTGCCTTCAATCCATCCACTATGGTCACTGATCCTGCCTTGCAAGCACACATGTAGCAGAATATATGACCGCAAGTCAAAGACACTGGATCAAAAACTGTATCCTGTTGGAGAAGAGCAGCTAATAAAAAGCTCAACATTATGAAAAGAGTAGCTAATCTGATATGATGAATTTTACAATATTGATAAGACTTAAGGTTGAGTTTCTTCATAAGAATTATCAGCAAGAATCAAATATCAATAAGAAAAAGCATAACGATAGTTACTCATGTTAATGAAATAGCTGGCACACTTATATGAGATAATAAAGAAACTAACCAAGCATATCGAACAAGTCAAGTCCAGTTCAAGCTTGACTGAATCAAAGAGCTCACAAGAAAGAGAAGGCTTTTCATCTTTAAATATGAGGGAACAGCCGTTGAACAAAGCAGGAGCATTCCTTGTATTGCCCTTTGTCTCTTGCGAATTTATGTGAAAGGCCATCAGCTCACATAGCCATGGTGATTGGAGAATCTCAAGGTTCCTACTGTGCGCTTGAGACTTAAATACTTGGCCTTGCTTGGAGTAGTGTATCTGTACAAAAAATCAACAACTGGTAAATCCAAAATTCTTGTGCATTAACTTGAGAATATCATACTCATGCTCTATTAAAAGTAAACCTTATCATATTTCTTCAGTATCTTACGCAAGGCAATGGCATTAATCAGTGCGTAAGTGACCAACTCCTTGCCTTCTTCAATCAGTGCGATATGGTTGCCTTGTATTTTGTCTTTAAACCAAATAAAGCACTTACGGAAACCCGATGCCAAATGGAGCTCAAGCAACCTCTGGGCATTCTCGTTGAAGAAGCCAACAACTTCAGACATCTCCTTCAGAAGTGAAGGGAAAAACGTGCCATCACACACTGCAGAGCACAAAATACCCTCATTTAGATGAATCCTAATCAAGAGAAGAATTTATACTTGAAGGGTTCAATGCTTATACTGATTTGTCTATGCAAAAGTGAAAACAGGAATAAAAGCATCATTTCCTGCCACAACAAGATGTATGGTGCTTTTTTTTTCTGGGGGTTTTCCTGCTACATGGTAAACATATTAATGATTCCCCCCAACCCCCCTCAATTCAAATATCCTATCTCTTCAGTTACAATGTCTTAACTATCGTTCAATCGAGGTCGATTTTTAGGTAGTTGGGACGTAGAAATTGATCAGAATAAGAAATTCAAAATTCTTATCCAGATCCTTCAGCATCAAGAAAACTCGTAGATCTTTTAAATGCATCATTCTCCTATCTCTACCAATATGTAAAGTCTTTCCTAATACCAAGACAAACGAAAAGGTAGTACCAGAGTTCTTGTATTGGACAAGTACTCACCCTAATAAGGAGGTGATGAAAGGTAACCAATGATAACAAAAACAAAGAGAAAACGAACGTTGAAAAGCCAATTCAGAAATAGAACCACCCAAAAATTCATCCCAATTCAACGCAGGACGTTGGAATCTGCAACCCAATCACACCTTATCTCGGTGTCGAGTAATAAATACGATATCATTTGTAACCGACCGAATGTGTGAAATCCAATAATCAGAAGCTATTAGTACTAGATATGAATAGAAGCTCTAAGCACCTGGGCAAGAGTCCGGGCAAGAGGAGGATCTACCGCAGAGGGTAGAATCTCCGAAATGATCAGGAACAAGGGCAGCGTTATCACGGGATTGAAGGTGTCGTCGACACCTTTTCAAGATTTTCTTGAGATTCTTGAAACCAACCCCAGGCAATTTCTTCCTCTGGCATTGTCCTTGCATGTATTCCTCGTACTTCTTGCAGAACTTCATCTTCAACCTCGCCTCACCTCCTTGCTTTTCCAACTCCTAATACTAATAATACGGTGATAAAAAGCGGCGTACAATTTCAAAATTCTTATAGGACCGAGGTTTTCTTTGTCCTGTTCAGATGACTTAAAAACCCTTAACCTTTTGGTTAGAAATTTGCTACTCAATCCCTTTCTAATAAGTACTAATTCTGAGCAGTTTAGGTTCTGAAAACAACACTAGGCTGCTGCTACTGCAACTATCCAATCCAGGAGTCTCCTCTCTCCACTGGACGGCCCTCTCTGTTCTCTCCCTCTCTCTCTATGTTCCCGAAACTACCGGTTTTCAATGACACCTGAAGCCCAAACAAGCCAAATTAACCCAGCGTAACCCGGTCCGTCCGAGAAAATAAGGGAAAGCTTTACTACAAAAGTGGCCAATTAAGAAAGGGGAAAAAAAGAAACAGAAAAAGTCAATTTACCGCTAACCTTTTCACACGTCTCGCGGATTACTACGTTGGAGTGCTACCTGATTAAGAAGATGAACATCTTAAGATTTAAATATAGTATTAACTTTAAGTGCTGAATTGGCCGAACAAACAAATTTCATGATTTTTTCTTGTCTTTGATTTTAAGCTAAACTACTGAAAATAATTTCCCAAAAGATTTCCAAAATTGAGACTACGGTGCTTTTGCTAAAAAAGGAATTTTTTTTTCAGGATAAAAGTACTTTTTTAATATGTCATTGTTCGAATCTAGAGGTCGAGTTATTGGCCATTAAAGCACTTTCGGCATAAAACTCAACATTTTGCTTTTAGAACAACTTTTGTGTTTGTTTCAAAAAAAAATATTAATTTTAACAAATTTTGAAATAAATGAAGAGATAAATATTATGTTTTTTACCAATTCAAAATTGCACATCGCTAGCCACGCAGACATGTATAACATATCCATTCAAAGTAGCCCAACTCAACCAACCATGCGATTTCTGCCGCAGACACGGAAAATGAGAAAGATCACAAAAGGTTCCTTCCATGATTTTTATTTAGACCATAGAGTCGAATTTATTAAGCCATAGATAGGCCAGAAGCTTCATTTTTTTTTTTTTTTTTTTGTCAACACAGGGTGTCCGGGTCCATCCTTACGGGACCCGACTAATTCCCTACGATCCGAGAGAGAAGGCCCCACTCCACACCGAGCACATTAACAACGGGATTCGAATTCTGGATAAATCAGGAAGGTCGCCATACTCTAAGGAGGGGGAGCAGATCGCTTGAGCTATCCCGTGAGAGCAGAAGACCAGTCACGTAAAGTGACAAATTTGTGGAAGACAGGGATTGAACCCCTGACCTCCAGCATTATCAAAGATGGTGATGATCACCGGACCAAATGACCAGTGGCCATAGGCCAGAAGCTTCATGGTTTGCTCATTTAAAATCAAATTCCTTCCCGAGTTGGGTCGCACCCAAAAGAAATTCCTTGCACTTGGCCCCCAATCTAATCTCACGGGGAAATAAAAGTCGAAAAGGGTTAAAGTTAAAGATAAGTACACACACAATCCACTATGTGATTCTTGCCCACGAAAGTTCACAAACTACTCGTTTTATTTTATGCGTCATTTTACCAGCTAGAAAGCAGAACAAATTTAATGCCATTCACTAAGCTTAACCTGCTGTGATTGGCTAAAACTACTCGGCTTCTATTTTCTACTTCTTCCGAGTCTAGCGCGTATGAGATACTACTAGTCTACAACATTCAGTCAGCCGGCTTCAACTTAAACGGCTCAAATCCACATTTCTCATTTGGGAGAGACACAGCATTCTTAACCCCCTCTCTGTCAAGGCATTTAAGAGAAAACAAATAATAATAATAATAATAATAATAACCCCCGCGCGCGCACTTGTGTGTGTGATGATATCGCCAGGGGCGGATTTAAGGTGGGGGCACATTGTCTTTTAAATTTTTATAATACTTATATAATTTTGATATAATTTTAAATGTACCTCCAGAGTTTTTTTAGAAAAGATGTGAAAGAATGGATCACAAAATTTAGTTTTATTATTTATATTGAGAAAAATATACTTTGTGAAGTTCAAAATGAGAAAATTATAAACCGTTATTAAAATATAAAAACTCATCCTGAGCAATTGTAAATAGTTTAGTTTATTTTTGAAATAAAATTATTATTATATTAATAATTTTAAGTTTGTCTTTTTATGTTTTTCTGAAATATACGTATCATTTGTACGTGTTGGTGAATTTATTTATTTTTTTTGCTTAAAAAACTAGAAAAAGAGTAGATAAAAAATTTTAATATTATTTTTACTTTCACTAAAACTTTTTTCTGGCTCCGCCACTGGATATCGCACCCATAGTTATTAAACCCAACCCGGGAGGGAACCCGGCGAACGAGGAGGGTCAATGGGTTACTAGTTCAACCAGTGGGTGAGTGGTTGAACCGGTGGGTCACTACTTCTATTTAAATATTATATTTCATAATTTTTGATATAAGATATATGATATAAATTATAATAAATAATGTCATAACAAATGCTCATATAATTTAATTTGCTATAAAATAATTAATTCATTTAAGAATCAATAAAATATTAAGTTATTTAGTAATATACCAAACTTCAAGTATAAAATTTTATCTATATTTAGTGAAATTATCTAACTTATTTATGAATTTTAAGTGCAAAAAGTTATTAAAAATAATATTTGTCTTAAAAATGAATTATGTAATATGTCATTTTTGAAACCCATTTTATAACTTATAAAGTTTGGGGTCATAAATTTTTATTAAAAGATTCCAAAAAAATAAAAAAAATAAAGTTGACAAAACGTTTATATATTATAAGTAAGCTACTCAATCAACAAATGATGAAGTAGCTTGGTGGCATGCAGCCTTCCTGCAAGGACCAGAGGTCCGAGCTCCAGCAAAGGAATAAAATTTTTATACGAAATCCGGTTCTTAGACAAAATCGGCCGGGTTTTCGGTTTCATCCGGTCGATTGCTAATCCGTTGACTAGTCAACGGTTTGATTGTTTAAAAGATCTAATTTAAAATCCAGCTCGGTCGAATGCCCGGTTCATCGATTCGACCGTCGGATTGGATCAAATTTAATAACTATGATCGCACCAATAGATATGCTTATTTAAATTCTTATTATTTGTACGATGATGCATGCGTTTTGGCAGATATGATAACCCTAATTAATTAGCGGTGTCATCATGATCATGCCATTAATAATTGTTTATACAATTTAAATAGAATGCAAAACGGCGACTTCGTTCCGGTAAATTGTACTATTTTATCAAAGACGGGAGCATTACTTAACCAATGCGTTTTGGCGGAGATGATAAAGCTAATTAATTATCTTTGTCATCATGATCATGCCATTAATAATTGTTTATACAATTTAAATAGAATGCAAAACGTGGCTTCGTTCCAGTAAATTGTACTTCCTCCGTCCCGTTTTGTTAGTTTTGGTTTTTTTTTCACACAGATTAAGAAAGTGTAATTAATTTGGTTGGAAATATAAATTTAGATTAATAATTTCCTAAAATACCCTTATGCTAATTAATGTAGTCAATGTATTCAAAAAGCTCAATGTATTCAATGTAGTGGGTTAGTATTTAATAACAATGAATTAATAACAAGATATTTAATAAGGGTATTTTAGATAATTTGAAAGATTACTACATTTCTTAATGGAAAAGTGAACTACAATTTGGGACGGACGAAAAAGGAAAACAAGACTAACAAAGTGGGACGGAGGGAGTACTATTTTTATCAAAGACGGGAGCATTAGTTAACCAACTAACATGTAGTAGTAGTAGTAGTCATGCATTAAATGTCAATCACGCAATTTATTGCCCTGATCATCATCATCAATTTAGAGCTGGCAATTATACCCAAAATTCAACAACCCATCCAATCCACCCACTAATTTGAGAGGTTGGATTGGGTAAGTTGGGTATTGGATAAATTTTGGGTTGGATAATAAAAATTCATATATATTTTGGGCGATTTGGATATTTATGTTGGGGACCTATTACCCAACTTAAATAAAAAAAACAAATTAACAAATTAAAATCAAGAAAAAAAAAGACCAGCGTTGTTGGATCCAGCAAAACATCCGCTGGCCAAGTTGTCAAAAATCTACCAAATTAGCTATTTGGGACACTCACAGAACTCCAAAAAGCTGTTACGGTCCAAATTCATTACATGGTCGCTGGGCTTCATTTGGCAGATTTCCTAGAAATATGTCCGGACTAGGTAATGCTAAATCAAGTAACAAGACTTAGAAAATTGTATACTGGTATATGCCATTTTTCATGCTATATCCAACTTGAACCAAAATTGTTGATTCGGTTTCTTAGTTTGGACCAAAGCTATACCCAGTTTGAAAATCCTTACTTGTATAAAAAATAGTGAGTTCATCAAAGTAGTTTAAATAGTTAGTACGTGTGTGTATTTGTGAAAGTATATTAGTGTGTATTGTAATGTGTTTGTATGCGTAAAAGTAATGTATTTTAAAAGAGTTTAAGAAGTGAGTGTGTGTTTGTGTCTATGAGTGTTTTAGTGTGCAAAATTATGCGTATCTATGTGAAAATGTGTTTATGTATGTGCAAACTTTTTTTTTTTGGTATGTGAAAATGTATTTGAGGGAGTTTATGTATCAAAATTTATTAATTAATATATTGGGTCATATTTCGGTCATGGGTTTGAGATGACCCAATTCAAATTTAATCCACTCTAAAGTTGAACGGGTTGGGTGTAACCCATTTATTTAAATAAAAATCCAACATCAACCCACCAAAATCCATGCAATCCACCCAATTGCTAGGTATAATCATCATCATGTGGCTTGGTGGTGGTGGTGGAATTCTGCTCTGAAGGCTTAATTAATTGTCAAAGTTCATAGAGAAAACGAATTCGACTTCTTCATCGTGGCTACAGAAAAGAAAATACGCCAAAGCGCTGCTCCACTAGACCTTGAGAGAGAGGGATTGGTTTACACTTTTGCACATCAATGATCAACCCACCATAGTCATAGTGGGGATTAATGTCCTCCAATATTCCTAGCCATTCCTTCTTCTTATTAGCTCTTTTTGTTTATTCATTCGGCATTCATGCATGGAAGGTGAACGAATGGTCACGGAATTCATCCACCACCACAAAACCCTTTAATCAATGCCACTTTTTCTTTCAACGTTTTTTTTTTCCCTTTTAACCTAATTAATCACGGAGAGCCAGTGACCAAGGCGTTGAGCTCCTCTCCTGCCTGGTTTGGACTTTGGAGATCAGGAGGGGGCGGCAGCAGGCGGTGGGGGAGGTAAAGCCAAAAAAAAAAAAGAGGAGAGAGAGAGAGAACCTTGGACATAGATTACTA